TATTATTTTGAAAATCTGAGTAGCTGAATTATGGAAATGCCATTATTAAAACCAAAACAACTTTTATGAAGTTGAAATTTGCAGGCCAGTGTTATTATTGGTTTGTTTTGACTTCTAGTCTTCTTGAATTAAACTCCTTGCAGAAACCAAAATTAAATTGGTAGTTTTCCTGCGTTTCTGTTAATTTTCCATCTTATCTGTCAGTTTAACCTTTTACACACTAGAGGGGGTGTAGCTGCTCTTCCTTGACCTTTTTCTTCTCATGGAAGAAATACAAAAATAAATTACATGAAACTAAGAACAAAGTTAGCAAATAGCATTTAGTTCTGGCTTTGAAACAATTCATGTAATATAATTTAGTTTTCCAATCATTTTATAGGTTGTAAAACTTGTTTGTTGTGAGATATTTTTTGAGAGAATTTTTTTGTTTTACCATGATGCAAGTTTATCAGTGACCTAGAATTAGTATCACAACATTTCATTACCACGACATTTGACTGCCGACAGATAATGATGTTCTGAAACCAAATCATTTCCTAACACAGTGAATGACTATTGTCTCAAAAATTACAGTGAACTAATAAACTATCGCACTAAACTTGATTAAAAATCAAAGTGAATAATAGAGTAATCGAATAACTTGCTGGGAAAAAAAAAAGCCATTACTATATAGCAAATACGTACACTATTATTTATGACTGCATGGGAACAAATTTTATGACGCAATTTGTGTGTTTTTTGACATGATAATGGTTGCCTTTATAATATTCTGATAATCTAATTTCTATACATTCAGAACACCTTAAAATGAAATAATCCCTTTGCTGGCAGTAAAATGCACCAGCATTTATTTACTACGGCAGTAAAACGTCACGGCAGTCATATGTTTGCAGTAAAATGTTGTAGAACCCCTAGGATCTGACCTTTCACAACAGCAATTGAGATCAATTTATATCCAATAAATGTAGTTCTTTTCCAGTAAGTAATAAGTTCTTTTATTTACATGCATTGTTTGAATATGTTAAACTTAACAATATTATTTAATAAATACAGATTTGAGTCATCAGAATATTTTTACAGTTGCTTACTATACTAAGCTTAGCTGATATCTTGTCATAGAAGCTTCATTAATTTCAAAACATAGACATTTCCAGGAATTAAAAGAACATCTGAAGTAACTACAAAAATTCCCAGATCTATGGACTGTTCCTAAGAATTCTAGACATCTCATTAGATTCCTTTATTCATCTCTGCGGGAGCTTCATTTAATCAATTTCCTAAGAAACAACAAATTATTGCTCACACCACTTTATCCTCTCTACGTTGAGCTTATAATCTGCTCTATCTAATGGCATTTACGTTCATATGTAGCTTCTTCAAACCACACATTGTGACATCATAAAAGGGGGTGGGAATGATTGGCTGTAATAATAAAACTTCACACAGAGAAGCAAACTCACATGGGAAACAAGACTGTATTTTGAGATAAGCAGAAAAATTCTAAGAAAAATAAATACACACATTGTTTACAGGCAAGACAAGACTCCTTAAAGCTGAGTCGAAAAGAAATTTACAAAATGTTAAAATATCAATTTTAAAATATTTTTTGAATTAAAGATTGTTGAGATACAGTTAGAACTCTTATTTTACTTAAACTTTGAAACTGTAATCGCAGGTGTGCATTTGACACTTGACGAGTGCTCCGAGGCTTTGGTAACGTCACACTTTTGAAACTTATGCCATTTATCCCCACTTTTCTCCATTTTTGTCTAAAGTAAGTCAACAAGACATATTTTCTGATTATCCTTTTCCTCTTAATTAAAACAATTAATTTTTAAAACTTGACTAAATCCATGCCACATCACCTTTTAACTCATTACCCAAATTCTTTAATGAAAAAGCTTGTCTCATGACCTCAAAATTAGGAACTCAAATTTGGTTTTCTTTCTCTTAACATGTGGCAAAACAAAAAATAATTATGTAATGATCACTCTCACCCACATATTCCTCCAATAAACCCTTACAACCACACCCCCATAAGTTGTTAACAATAAATGTAAAATGGCATTCCCTCTGGTTGGCTCTCCGATTATTTTAGAACAGAAAACCATCATAAATCACTTAAAAAAATCCCTCTCTCTCCCTCACCACTTGACTCCATACAACTCAAATCAATGTATCTAAAATTAGTCTTAACTACCTATTGTGCCAGTATTCTTATCAATAACAACCATGACCTTGTTATACAACTTTCCATTGATATCATCAGGCTGATTAGATAGCCTATAACAGTTAAAAACTTTCTAAAGTTTAGGCCCTTGATTGTAGATCACACGGCATCTTCATTTACAACGAATATTACAACATTATTCAACAGCTAACAGGAAGTACCACAAGATTTTTTTCAGTCCAATCTATGTAATCATAAGCTTAACCTCTACAATAACTCAATTACAAATCTTCACTATTTATTTACAATGGCTAATATCTCTATGGTAAAATCTAACATGAATTAATTATCCAGCCTACACCAAAGTGATAACATAAAACTTAGGTTTGTGTGCAGAGTAAATTATTTCATTAGTCATTTCCATATAGCCATATACTTTTGGTGATTAAATATTGTATAGTACAATGTGAATTAGGCCTAACTATTAGTCATGTGTTACCTAGGGTACGTGCATAAGGATTAAGGGGTAACAACATTTCTTTCAAGGATTAACATTTGTTTTAAAGGACAATCCCATAAGAAAAGACTGTACTTATAGATTACTCAGTGCTTATTGAAACAAGTTTACTAACCTGTAGCTATCCCTGGAATGCCGAGATTATCATAATGGCCTCCCCTTTCCTGGAAGACCTTGAGGAGGATAAACACTGATACCACTCTTAAGATAAGATTCAGGATGCACATTCTATAAATACAGCTAAGGAGTTTTCCAAATAAAAAATAATTCATATTTTGTCACAATCTAAAGATTAAAGCTGATAATTTGTGATCTCATCTAGTTGTATACAAAACGTTTTGCTCCAGTAAGTTGTCATGAACTAATTACTTCAAACCAGTTTATTATCAATCTAGTTTTAATATTTAAACAGTTTTATCTTAAGAAGAAGAAAAAAAAGAAATCATAAAAACAGTTATACGTGATTTGAATTTGGAACTCGGGAATCCCAATCTGACTGACTCTCTCCTAAAATTTGTTCATAACTTAGAAATGATGAAACTATTAATTAATAAGTTAGAATATTTAAACTTTTTTACATACAATGAAGTAAACTGAAAAGCTTTAATAATAAACATAGAGAACAGATCACTTGAGCTTGGATAGTAACAGCCTATTTGGAAGTGTTTATACTGTACACAAATACTAAATTCAAGTCTTGGTTAAATATCTATTACGATAATCCTGGAGTCAAGTGCACTATTTCTTTGGGAACAAAGTGTATGTAAATATATATATATACACATATATATAGTAATATGGCTGTATACCAATCCTTGGGGTGAAGAGAAAATTGAAATTAGTGTATTCAGAATTTTAGATTGAAATGGATGAGTTGCAAGAGAGGAAAATCACGGAAACCAGAGTTCAGGTCTTGATCAAGAATCATTGGAAATGTTGTTGTCAAGTAAATCAAGGAAACCAGAGTTCAGGTCTTGATCAAGAATCATTGGAAATGTTGTTGTCAAGTAAATCAAGGAAACCAGAGTTCGGGTCTTGATCAAGAGTCATTGGAAATGTTGTTGTCAAGTAAATCAAGGAAACCAGAGTTCAGGTCTTGATCAAGAATCATTGGAAATGTTGTTGTCAAGTAAATCAAGGAAACCAGAGTTCAGGTCTTGATCAAGAATCATTAGAAATGTTGTTGTCAAGTAAATCAAGGAAACCAGAGTTCGGGTCTTGATCAAGAGTCATTAGAAATGTTGTTGTCAAGTAAATCAAGGAAACCAGAGTTCAGGTCTTGATCAAGAATCATTGGAAATGTTGTTGTCAAGTAAATCAAGGAAACCAGAGTTCAGGTCTTGATCAAGAATCATTGGAAATGTTGTT